GCCGAAAATAAATATATTTATCAACCTCGTGCAAGCTTATTAAGAAAGAATACATACTGATTAGTCATACCGAGGTTTAGGGAAGGTCGGTTTCGAAATAAATCATGTGTAATTTTGAAACCGATCGTCATTTAACCTCGGTAGTAAAACAACCAAAATGTGTTTAAATTATTGAGCTTACATGAGGTTGATAAAGTTGTTTATTCAGCCAGCGATACCACGTCTTCGTCTTCATCAGAGCCGATGATCAGGGTCGACGATCTACAGTTGTTCGTCTTCTCGATGTGACGTATTCGTCTTCATATCGAGTCAGATCTTCCTCAGTGCATAGTCATATGAACAAGAACCGCCCTCTATAGAAGAGCATCGTGGGGTTAGTATACCTAATTCGAGTGATGTTCCACTGAGAAAAATCCGACTCGATACGAAGATAAAGACGCTTAATCTTAATCAACACAGTAGGGTAATGGCCGGATATTGATTATTGCTGCTCCAACCTTTGACACAAAACCAATCTCAGAACTTGTTACCAGCAGTTGTTCCACTGCCAATCATCTCCTTTTCCGAAATATTTCCGAACCACCTAAGGATTGAGCATTCCAGGCAATCTTTGAAAAGGAAAAGTGCCATGAGCCACTGAAATGAGAAGCCCTATATGTTTGTTGTTCTTTCATGTTGCATAAGGAACTCGCGGATGGCTTGAATTGCGGAGTCATTCGACAAGATAGTGTAGAAAGCGGTAACGTCGAAGCATTCTTTAGACAAGGCGCCAACGGCGAAGTAGATACTAGTTTTTGCATAATATCGGGCATTTTTCTCAAAACCTTTAATCGCTACTTCGATAGAAATTTTACTCACAGCCTCGCAGCAGCGGAAAAATGTGGCATGCGACATTGTACATTGCGCACGCTTCGAGAGCTAATAAAATCAAAGAGACTGTCAGTTAGTGGGGTGGAGAGTTTGTAGTAATTCGTCGCCTGTGAGATGTTGAGATAACGGAAAAACGTCTTCAAAACGCTTTCCTTTATTGTCCATCGTTTGAAAATTAATTCAAAAATCAATGCCGAAAGCTGAACACTGAATCGGTAAAGGTGGTAAGCGCGGCAGAAAAAAAAGCGTTAAGAAAAGAGCGTCTTAGCGTTCTAAAACCATCAGCTATTTCGCACATTAAAATTGAATTACCAACATGACCCGTCTTATACCTACTTATAAAACCTACAAGTTAATATTCATTAATCATCTGTATTGTGTCTATCGATCCCTCAACTTTCAAGTGTAGAACCATCATCAGTTGTGTAGACGGGTCCATGAACAGAATAGTTTGGTTTATAAAAATATTTCTCATCCTGTCGAAATATAACCCAGCCCATTTCAAGAATACCCAAATGTTCATGGATCTAACGCGCAACACTCATCCTAAGAGCGCGTATGGGTATGGAGACCTTTGGCACTACCACTCCATATACGAAAATGTAGAATGACTCAGCAATGCAAGTACATAAAATTCACCTTGGAGAAATCCAAAAAAAAGTGGCTTCCACTTCTGAACGTTCGAATTAATCAAAAATGGCTACGCCACTAAGTGGTACCGAAAGCCAAGTAATAAAAACATACTGGATCGTTAGCTCTCCTCTCAGCTTCACACACTTAAAGGAACAAACATGTTTCGAGAAACCATTAGTGCGAGCACATGAAGAGATCAATGGGAGGAAACCCTGAGGGGGAACAAACAGCTATTTGCTATAGCTACGAAGGGCTAGCTCCTCGGGGTAGCTTTGAAGGAGAAACGTTGTCCCAAAACGATGTGTTTAGTGAGAATGAGGCCCCGTTTATCCTGCTTTATTTCCAATGAAATAAGTGCGGTTATAAAAGGCTGTTTAAAAATGGCCGGCCAAAAGAATTCGGCACGAGTGACTGCTAGACCACCAAACACTCTCAGGCGCCAACTAATCCGTATCCGCCTGTATAACCGTTTATACACAATTCAGAATTGCATGATATTCCTTAAGAGTAGAGACGTTGATTGGAGGAGTTTGGGTACGGTGTACCTGATTTTTTGTAGAGCGTGCGGGGACGAATGCATTGACGAATCAGGTAGACCGCTCCTCGTCCGCTTGAAAGAATACCTAGTCGGTAAATTTAAATTGAAACCAAACACAGCACTAGGCGTGCATGGGACACACATAATGGGAAAGATTTTGAGGTAAAAAGCACTATACTCGCACAAGAATTAAGAACAACAGTGCGCAAAACTCTTGAAGAGTCTTGGATAACTTTGAAAAATGCAAAAATGTAGCCCAAGTGCCTTTTGGTAAGACTTGACCTCGCGCGATACCTCAAGCTGACGTTTTAACCTATGCCAGGCACATTCTACGCCCATCCAACACTCTGTGCTAGTTTCTACCAAATAACTGGAAGACTTACAAAGAACAAAACTGCGGGTGTTTAAAAGCTGCTTATTCAGCCAATGAAAAATTTAAGTATTAGGTTTTATCCTCTGAGGTTATGAATATGCTTGCCTTAGTAGATTGAGTGCTAATCAGGCCTTTTCAGGCTCTGAACAAGGCGAAATCTCTGGAATCCTCAGTTATTGCGAATTGATAGATGCTGTAATAAAAACGTCGTCATAACTCATCACGAAAAATCGTGTTTTATTGATCAATGCCAAGGTTAAAAGATGGCAGGTTCTGGGATTTGCTACAGTTCTAACAATTCCAAATCTACGTAGAAATGTCTGCACAAATTTTGAGCCATAAATCCACTTCATCAAAAAGAATTCAGTGTTTGCGATAGCAAGAAAACGAGTGTGTTCATTGCATTTCATAGCGGTAGATTATTATAGATAGCAGCAGGACTATGATTAAAGAACATCTCCGTTTGCAACGTCATCACCAGACAATATTTCACTACTCGCGAAAATGAGAGCTTTCAATAGGAATGGACTTCTTGAAGAATTGCTCCAGATGTTGTTAACCAGGGTGTACGATTTCAGTTCTAGTGTCGTACAACTTACTGCTTCGTCAGAGGGAACAATGCAGGTACGTGTGTTCATAAAACCGCGGTGGAAGGATGCTCAACATTCCACTACTCCCTATTTCTCCACCAATTTAAAACAATGTTTTCAAAATGGAAGTAATATATCCTATGTAAAAATCGGAAAATGAATGGCATCCAATGGATTTGACTACTAGTAGGTTAACTTCGTAGGGTTATCGCTGGTGTCATGCTGACATAACACTAACCCAGATTTTTCTAGTTACATACCTTTCAAAACACTCATTTGCTCCTCAAACTTTTCTCAGATTTGAAATCGAAAAACTTACGAGTAGTCTTGGAGATACGGACTAATTTCGATATTCAAATCAATTCATGTCTATCACCTGAACAACTTATGGTGTGTATATTAAAATATTCAAGAATAAATCTGTAAAGTCTCCATGTATTATGGTAGCAAACTAGAGTTATCCAAGTTAGGCTCCGCTCTCCCACGAAACAAGAGGGTCGGCGTTTTTGACAGGCCTTTCATTATCATTGTTCCCGAAGAGATGCTAGCCACAGGATTCCCGCCGTGCTTTTCTACAGGGGATGGGTTTACACACGAATAGCTCTACAGGTTCTCTCGGAGTAGGTGCTTCTTTCCTTGTAGGACCAACTCATATAAAATTCAAATATGCGCAAGAATACCCATGCGTGTACACGTGGAAATGATTGCACATATATGAAAGGAATAAATCTGCTCAGAATGTTAAAGACAGCAAATCTCTTCGATTCAGTTGTTTATCAAGTACATGATCAGGTTCTCACCGCGCGTTTTAACCAGAATCCGTTTGCTGGGTACGCTAGTCTCACGATTCATCGGCACTAGATCTCTCACATAAACCACGAAATCTGTGGTCCCTTTTCTATACTACAAACTAAAGCTTAAACATTTCTGGGATTTGTAATATTTTGTGATTCGTTTGGTGCTACTTTTGCTACACTCTACTGGATTCGATTACTCTTGATGTGATTACGAAGTAGACACTCGACCTGAACCATTGCGACTCCGATGAAGTCGAAAGCACCGAAACACTAGCCATCATAGAAAGTTTTTGATAATAACCTCGTGTATGCTCACCAATAGGGCAAAATGCTAGACGTTAAACAGTTTAGTTTATTTTCCTCCTGATTTGTTAGCTTATCTTCTTCCCGAATTGTTAATGTTCTGGCTAGCGTTACCAGAGGGCAAAAAATTAGCAGCACATCGGTGTACTGCGCAATACTCACTGACCTGTATGGTGAGCACAATTATTGTAAAAGTGGTCTTTGAGATATATGCTCGTTCCCAGGTGTTTTGCAGCTCCATACAGATTTCTGGATAGGAGCGTCCACAGATGCTAAGCTGAAGAGATGTATATATTACCCTTTAGTGTACTCAGCTTTTAAGACGCTTCCGCATGAACAGCACTACAGCACTACGACCAGCTTATTGACTGTTTGTCAAAACTTATTCACTGATTGACAGCGTAGCAGTTGTATTAAAAGTAGAATTGTGTGCTCTGCCTACCATAGCTGGTGTGTGCACATCGTTCCAAGGTTCTGCTCTGTCGAATTTCTGAGACTTTACAGTAAGTGAGTATGGCAGCGCTACAACGATAGATATAATCCAAACTATGCAGTAGCAGATGATCGATGCTGTGGGAGCCAACCGCCTGGAAACGGTAAAGTAAGGGCTTTTAGATTTAATTTACTTTCCTATCTTTTCCGATGAAATCAGCAAAAAACAATCCTCCCTTCACAGAAATAAATGAACCTAAAAAGCACCACTTTTACTACTTTCACTTTTTATTTTCTGCCTTCTTTAATCTTTATGGCAGGGTATTAAGGGAAATGCAACCACAATATTACTGATATAACTCGTATGAAGTGCTGAGATACTTGTATCTATGGTGTAGTGGTGAAATGCGCTGCTCCCCGGTAAGGACAACAGCGCGTGTTCGTTCCCCACTGCATACACCTGTGGTCCGGAGTTTTGCAAGTATCTCAGCACTTCATACGAGTTATATTTCACAACATACCATACCATTAAGAAGAAAAAGGCAGTAAATAAAAGAGTTAAGATTACTGATATATTTGCAAAACTCCCGACTGCAGGTGTCTGCGGTGGGAAACGAACGCGGAGTAACACGGGTAACCGGGGAGTAACACGTTCATCACCAGACCGTGCGGGTCCTTCGTTTCGCCTGTCTCTCAGCTATTTCTATCGATCAGTGCTGTCAGCAATCACCCGTCAACGGGATTGATCTCGGGAGCCCACATCAGCATTGAACCCAGTCATGCTGAGGCTGTAGTTGAATTCACAATGTTCACTTTTTCAAAAAAAATATTTTGAAGAGACGGAAGGAAGTTACCATTTTACTGGGTATTTTGTCAATAAAACACGATCCATAGCGATCAAGGCAAGAGTTAGCGATGAAACGAAGGTGTTGACTGCTTGAAGCGATGCCAGCTGTAACATTAAATGAATGGACAGGCAAACAGTTTTTGTAACAGCAACGACAGGTCGGATATAGGAATGAATCAACTTAGCATTATCCATTAAAATTTTCACATTTTTTCCATTTTTTTTACATTTTTTCCGAGGACCAGCATGCTTGCCAAAGAATCCATCGTCATTAAATCAGAAAATGAGAATAGAGAGGAAAGTCATTTAGATTGATTGATTCGCATTAGTAATGCAGTTTTTTAATTCCTCCAGACATGTCTGTTCTTGGCTTTTCTAACCCATTACTATGGTGATCCCATAGCCTGAGATTGACCCAAAGGCCACCTGTATGTTGCGAAGCACCTCTAACCGCTACGCTGCACTCGATCATTAAGAGTAATAGCAAAAGATATTGACACCAACATTCAAGCATAGTCCAGAGCCAATACAAATAAATAAACTTATGTTGACTTTTTGCTTGTTGTACATCAATGTTTTCTGAGAAAAAAATCGTAATCAGAGCAGTTTCTCAGTTTTTGGGAGAAGTGCCTTTTGTTTACGAATGAACAACGACTAACCACTTTGCATGAGATGTTTCCAAACGGCCAGAATAGGTTCGCACTGGTATAGAGAGTGACGGGCGCCGTGACCACACACAGCAGCAGATCGGAACAAGCCAAATTCACAATAAAGCTGAAATTAACCACAATGGCATAGAGGAAGAAATAGAGTTGGAAAATATCTAAAGACAACGGGCAGAGACACTGTGAGTGGCCATCGCCACTCCGGTAATAGCTCTCCGCTTTGTCTCACCAGTCTGGCTTACCTTATTTGCTATTCATCATTCCATCCTGCTCTCTTATTGCCATACCACCAGGAAAAAAAGCAAGTGCAGCCAAAGGAGACCTAATCTTTGTTCTCAACTGATTATTATTACCTGTTTCGTAGATTACGAAGGTTTGCTGTTCGAATGAATGCGAATAATACGACAAGGTTCGCCAACGCTCCGAAGGTGCACACGATACCGTATAGGAAAACAATCGACGATCCCTCGAGCTGCAGCACCCAGAAGTAGTTGTTCTGAAATTGTTGAGTTGAAATAGAGATTGTCGGTGATCACGTATATGAGTGTTCTTATCAGTTGGTACTCCTGAAGTTGACAATTTTTAAAATTTGGCATTGCATCAATAGCTTAGCATGACAACAGTATGAAATACTTCCAAGAGGTAGGTGTGAAGTATCGAAATCGCTGGAAAATTGCAGTGACCTCGCATATTTATGTAGTCCATTGCGAGATAGGATATTTAACCGTCAAGGCTCCGAAATAGGATAGCTAGAAAAATGCTTACCTACGGGTGCAGACCGCTTTCCAATAAACAAACCAGCACAACTCACCTTCTACTGGTGTTAAGAAAGTAAAATAAAGAAGGATAAAGCTGTCGGCTTTGATTAATACCTGATGGATGTGCCATCAAAGAGTCGACTTCATCACGCATCCTTAGACATGGTTGAATGCATCTCTGGCCTATGCAATAACTCGTAACCTTTGTATAGAGAAAGTGCTACTATTCTTCCAGATCAAGTATGACATTAATTTGCCGACCCCGGCAGGGTGTTATACGAAATCAACCACAACGATGCTGAGATATTTTCAAATGATGGCACTGATCGATAGACCTAGATGAGAGAGGCCAAACGAAGGATGCGCATGGTGTGGTGGTGAACGCGTTAGCCCACGGAAAGAGCAACAGCCCGTTCGTTCCCCATCGCAGACACCTGCGGTCCGAAGTTTTGCAAATATCTCAGCATCATTGTGGTTATCTCAGCACTGTTGTGGTTGATTTCGTATAATATTCTGCCATAAAAATTGTAGTAGGCGGTAAATAAAAAAGTGAACATAATGAAGATCGTTCACTGAGGATTTAACGAATTACTTTTCGCTTCTGGGTTTTACCATGAGGACAAGACTAACAAAAAGGACAGCACAAATGTTGTTTCATTTGTGGGCACTCCTCTATTGCACCGATTCTTCACTAAATTTCTGAATCCACATAAATGCATCCACTCGTAAATATTAGAAAAAAACTATTTCGTAACCAAAAGAAGGAAACTGTTGATAGCGGAACAAATTCGCAACGCTCCATGTCTCAGTGTAAAATTCACCGGTAGATCTCATTACAAGAGAAACTAATCTTCGAAGAAATCTGTTAACATTGAGCGGTTTCTTTCGTCCAAATATCCAAGGAATTCAGCGTTATACGATTCGCCGTCTCATGTGTGGCATAGAATGCTGTGGAAGCGGGACGGACAAGGAGAAAGGCCGCGGTTACACACGTGCGGAGGGCGAGCCGATTCTACATGGAGTGATTAAAATAGCCTGACATCTAATTTCGGAGACGAAAGGTAAAGCAAATTGTTTAACATCCTATTCCGTAAGAGGGCAATTTTGTATTTATTGCATATTTCTGCTGGTTATCGTCAATGTATTTTGTTCTCCTGACAGTGGGATTCTTGTTTCCAGAGACTCTAACTGGAACTGCAATCGGCAGGCAACTAGAGGTCTAGTTGTAGGCTATGAAAGACTTTAAGCAAAGATCAACAGCACTGTTAGATAAAACTGAAAAGGACACCCGCAAACTTCGCCGAGATGTCACCAACTACAAAGCCAGATGACGGATCATCGACGTGTGGTCAGGAGGGCAACCACCTTTGGACAAACAATGGAAACAGCCATCCACAACATACACTCTGCCCTTCAACAATCTTTTGTATGCCGTCATAGTGGTTCCTCCCTCCAAAATTTCAGATGCTATGTCATTAGTGAACAAAGCATATTGTATTCGGTCCCGATAAGAGCAGATCCGGAAAATCTGCGACCGATCCTCATAAAACACTGGACTAGTTTCGAGTATGCTAGTATCCAAAATGGAAGGTATCAAGTTAGTGGGAAACTGACGGAACACTGCTCTTATACAGAAGAAAATGTTCATGCAACTTCGGTTACTACTGCTGAACATGGCATTTCCTACAGGACCTTTACTTGCTTCATTCGTTACGAGCATTTGTGTCACGATATCAGTGTAATGAATGTATTTGCTCTACAACTGGGAGGGAGTAAAGTAGTGATTTAGGAGCGTAAGATTGCGTTGGATATGTGAGACAGACAAAAATGTCCGCTTCTATGCTCTTCTCTTCACTGTTCGATGGCCAAAGTTGATCATAAATTCCTATTAGGATTCCATGCCTTTTGTGCCCGTTCATCGAGAATTGCTAAAAACAGCTAAAGGCTTTTTGGTGTCTCCTTATCGAACTGAACGACAAATCAGAACGTTAAGTAACCTTAACGTCCAAAGTAAGCGAAACGATTGGATCGGAATTCATAAAGTGAGTAATTTGCTGAGTTAGTTTCCTTTGAGCTTGAATGCACTGGTTTCCAAACAAGCAATGGAATTCATGTGACTACGTCTAGTCACGTCCCGATTAAGTTGTTTTTCTACCTTGACGAATGACTTGTTGGCGTTCCACTCACGCAGGGTATTACAACAATTTACTACTCGCTTGCTTGTCACTGCCGAGTTCCGGCGGATTCAATTACGCGGTAAGCCAAGATCGCTGTGTGAAACACCTAGCTGTTGCTCATTTCTACTAGTAAACCTAAGGTAGCACATAGATATTTGATGAACAGTGACTATTTTGCAATAAGTATCATCAGTGACGACGACCATCACTCATCCTCCATGCGTGTAAGATTTGTGAGTTTTGAGGACTATGGTAACGAATCTCTTTCAAACTCGCCACTGACGTTAACGTGGGGATGAGAGGAAGAATGTAGTCAGAATTTCCCGATTTTTCAGCTTAGTACTAAGTTTGAAGTGACCAATCTATTGCTGCTACTCCTTGGTAAATACCGATAGAAGGATTTCAAGTTTGTTCCATATTCAAGAACTATTTCCTATTATGATTTAACATTCATCTAACCAATGACCAACTGCCAAACGTGATCAACAGTGGTGTATTAAACCCTACCCGCATTAGAAGTCAGAAGCAATTTGAAACCTTCATATTGAATCCGGCCTACAGAAGCAACATAACTTTTAACTGCCACGACCGACTTTCTATTAACCTCGGCATTGATCAAGTGATTTTCCAGAGAGGACCCAGAGACATAACGGGGACGACTTCGAAGTATGTGTCACGATCCTCGCACGCGAATCAAGAACACAGGCGCGAAAAACTCTCGAGGCACTCTGGATTAATTCCAGAAATCCGAAAATGAACCGCAGGGAAGAATGCCTCATTATCACGCGTGATATAGGGCAGTATATAAAACTGCTTTTCTGATGTGAGGGGCACATTATACTTCCACGTGGTTTCTGTGCGGTTGGTCTCTACGTGACATACTTAGTGGAAACCTCATAGAAAGCGGTGAGTGTGCAAAGTTGTGTTCAAAGTGATTGAAATCTTGGTTTGGAGTTTCTTTGTTTGGTTATGGAGGCGTCTGGCCGAGTGGATTGCTATCAACTTGACCTTTCCAGGCTCTGAAGAAGGCGAAATCCGCCGAAACGTCAGCTTAATCGTGAACAAAGAATAGTAACACCTCGCGTTTGCTCAACAAAAATACGAGGAAAAACATAACTTTTACTTAGATGTCTAGAATCTCTTAAGGTTAAAGGGAAAGTTGAATTATCTGGCTTGTAAATATGAATAGCTAAGTTTTTCATTGTAACAGAGTCTTTAGAAAAAATCATGAATAACGAAAGAGCTTGAAGGAAATCCACTGACGTCACGGTATTTTGAGACAAGAAATTCAACTCTTTGTTCTCTGCACGAGTCTATCAAAGACTTCCATGGAAAAGAAATTGAGTAGAGGAAGAATGACATAAGCAAACCAGAACGATAATTTTCATTCTGGCTCCAGGTGTCGGCTACACAATTAGAACTGTCATGAGACCAACAAAGGTTTTTGCGCGGTTTATAATTAGATGCAATGTGTTAGAGCTAGTAGCTCAAACGTTAACTAATATATGAATTCCAAGACCAGAAGGGAAATGGAGAAACGCGACAACAGCTGTTTGGACGGTGAGGTTATTTCACGTAATTCAACCTAGGGCCCAATTTGTTCGTGATCGTGAAGCCCTACGGTTCCCCCCTCGTGCTCGGGACCTCACCAAAGGTGGTGGTCTGGCTTCATGGATTAGGAGATTGCTTACTACCCTTGAGTTATAGCACTTTAGATCGGTACCGATTATCGACACTTGTTTTAGTTGAAAATGTCGAGTTACTAGAAAGCTTCCAAATGTTCTATTCGTGGATTCGCCCACCATCAGTACATCAGAAATTTCGACACATAGCCAACCATTCTGCTTTTAGCATACTTCAGTATTTCACACCGATCGGTGGACTAAATGCAAGGATCGTTGATGTCCTAGAAGAACCGAGTCGAGTGCAGGAAACCTCCGTACAGTCACCTACAGTAATGATCAGACAGTATTCTAGTATGGTTTCTCTAGGATTGCAGAAAAAGATTTGCCAAACCAGCACCACACCATTTAAATGAATGGGATCCGCACGACAAATCGTGAAGGTGTTCCATTCAAATTTTGAAATAAACACTATATTTTTAAATCAATTGTTGTCTGAAGACAATAGTCAAAGAGCGCTATACCACGATTCTTTTTTGCAACAACTGTTTAAGTCCGGATAATGGGGTCGAGATTGATCGCGAGATGAGTTTGTTTAATTTGGTTGCCTCTCAAAGTTCATTCAACACATGACGCGCCTAAAAACTCCACTGTCAGCCATTTCGACATCTTAACGTTTTTTTGAATTTTGATTGAATTCATCACGTTTTTACTTTACAAGCCAAGAAAAATAGATCAATCGAAACATTCATATCACAACCAACCGCATGTGTCGTCTAATATCTAATTTCCGTGCTTTCCATACTGTTAACTCGTCACGTCTCATGAAGAGTGAATGGTGTGAGGACACTGACCTGCATCGCTCGGATTCGGTCGAACCAATCGCACTCGACGACCACCCAGTCGCCGCTGGCGTTCGGCCGCATCTCTGCAATCATCAGCCGACACTGAAGTATATCAACTGAGCAGACACATCATGAACGCCGACTTTAGCGAAGGGAGATTGCGAACTTCCACACATCAACGTGCTACTGTCTCTACTTCACAGCATAAAAACACTCTTACGCAATGGTAACACCTAGCAAACCAGCTAAAGATAAAAGTGAAATGAATGAAAGACACATGTATATGAAAGCAAAAAAACATTGAACAGAAAATCGGTAAGAAAACAGAAAATGGTCGAAACTCTCCGGAAGACAGGGACATTCTTGAGAATTCTCACTTCTAAGCTGTATGAATGTGAAGAGCTGTAGTCAGCTCGTCAAATGTCATTAAACCACAGCTGCTCGTAATAATATAGTTTGTGTATGCGCATAATTAACAAAGTAAACAACTTTGGCGTTTTAATATAACAGAAAACACAGTGCTTGTTTGAAGGCCCCTCGCACTTTTAAAATCTCGGTAATTAATCTTAACGCAGATGTGTAGAGAAGTGACGACTTTAGTGAATAGCAAGAAAAAGCCGTCAGTTTACTTGGAAAAGAATTGATAGTGAAGTGGAAATGATATTGTGTAAGGCAATTAGTGTCGAAAAGACGAACATTCAAAATAGAAAAAAAACTTCTTGAAAACTTCTCGAGGCTTTTTGGGTAAATGCCAAAAACCCTGGAATGAATAGCAGGGAGGAATGCCCACAGGTCGTACGCGACCTGACCCCGTATGTTCGTATCAATTTCTGATGTGGGATGGTGCAGTCGTCAACCACATGCGACTATAATCGGCTGTTCTAAACTTCCTCATTGGAAGTCACGAAAAAAGCGGTGGGTTTTTCGAGAAGCTGTTGATCATGTAATTACCATAGAGTTTTTCGTTTTTTTGTAAGTGTCATTGAAGCGTTTGGCCTAGTAGATTGTATATCAGCATACCCTTCCAGGCTCTGAAGAGGGCGATACTGCCGAAACGTCAGCTGGTGTTGTATTGTATTGTGTTTCTCTACGGAAGTAAATGCATGCTGTTTAAAAACCTCGCGATTGCTGAACAAGAAAACGACGCACTCAAAATAGAGGTTGGAAAAAGCTTGGTGGGAAATCGCGTTGGGTGAGAACTATTATCACTTCCTTGCCTTGATTTCTATCCATGTTTCCACAGCATTTCTCTAGGGCTTAAAAAATGGATGTGAGTCTGTCTTAAGCCAAGGCGTTGAGGGATTCGCAGAAGACGCCACTAGCGGAAACGTCGGAAATCCCAGTTTAAGCGGACGATGTGGGTCATGGACAGCGTCAAACGAGCACGATATTGGACTCCAGCATCGTCATATTCTGCTTTAATGTAATTTTCCAAAAAAAAAACGAGAAACGAAACGCGTTCTTGCCCACCGCGAAGAGAGGTGTGTCTTCAACGAATAGGTCGGATTGAAGAACTGAGCCGCTCTACCTTTTAACGAGAAAACAGGTTTTTCGATCATATACAATAGTTTCTTGATCAGTAGAGCGTTTCGGGAGTGCAAAGCTCTATCAACCTGTAGAGTAGATTTTATCCTCTCGCATCAATAGCTTATATAGTTTTCATACTGTGTCCCGTGAAATCTAAACGTGTTTAGACGTAAGAGATTCAGAACTTTGTCACAGAAACGCAAGTTTCGAAATGTTCCAACGAAGGAGCGGTAGCTGCAAACAGAAACGATAGTTTGGAGAGAACCCAATCCTATGCTGCTAGCCGAAATCCCGCTTGTAGATTTACTTTCCTGTTCGAAGAATGAGATTTCGAGCAATAAAGTGGAAGAAATATACGGCTTAAGCTCCAGAAAAATAGGGTTTCATCGCTCTAAAAAAATTTTGGCTCTATAGGCAAGGATCTTCAGATTTCGATAGTCTTTACCGAAATTAATAAAATTCGTTATAAACTGAGATATGTTGATTTAAACTCGAAAGAGGAGAGTATTTTCGCACTCCTATAGAGGTCACGTCGTCGTGCAAGCGCAAAGAGGTTAAATTTGCAGCACAACGTGCTGTAACAGATGCCAAGCACAAATTGAAAGTTCGAATTTACTGACAGCATATGAGAGCAGTTGATTTTCAACTGCTATCCCTGCAACGGTACCTTTAATGCTACATGTCTCAAATCTTCCATATCTTCCACGAACTCCGTGAATAAATCAGGTAAGTGACATATTCAAGAAGATGAAGGGAACCTCGTCAAAAACGATAAGTGAAGAAACAGAAATAAGGGGGAAGCGAATAAAAACCTAAAAAAACCTAAAAAGCCGTTTTCAGTCGTAAACGACACAGCAAAAGACCGTTGAAAGCTCAAATAATCCGGCTATCATTTTGGTAGCAGTATCGATCAGTGTGAAGCGAAACCTTAACAACATTAAGTCGTAAAAGCTCTTTTCTTCGTGATGGACAGAAATTGTTCATTAAAAGGAAAAAAACATTCGACTCATTTCAGATTGTAAAAGCCTTGATTTGGATGGATATCAGTATCTCACAAAGACAGTGTTTGGCACGGAATGAAAGACTTGAGGGAAAGGCAGGATGGACAAGAACTATGGATTGATCGATAGTTTGAACGGAATAGAACGCCGTTAAGGTAACGAGGTTACACTGATAACGCCTAAGAACACCATAAAATAAGGGGATTTGAAGAATTCTTTTTAGCAGATCGATGCAAAAATTTAGAGTATGGGATTCGACTAATAATGATAACAAGCATGTCAGAATAAGAGGCGTTTAATCGTGTCATTCTTACGATGGAACCCATACGTGTTAAGAGCGAAGCACTAGAAGTTCTCAGATAACACGTGAAAGTCCACTGACGACGAATGTGACCAATGAACTTTTGCTTCTGCAATTATGCAAAAGACAAAACACAAAGCCTTCATAGTTGACCAATCTTTGAGCAATGGGCCATTCATTTGACTTCGTCAAGGCATCGAGAGGTGATTGAATGCTTATATAATAAGTTATGGTGGCCTAGCGATGTATTCAGTGAGTTATTTTGCCGCCTTACACAAATCAGATAGCAATTTGCCAGAGATAGGGAGGAAGAGAGGCTTGGTGAGGCGCAAATTCGAGCTGAACACCACATGTGTATTGAATGGCACCTCTACCTTCTGCGTCAAACGTACCATCTTTGAATAATATTACCTTTCGTCCTGTTGGTCGTCAAGTGACTCAGACGGGTGCCAGTAAAATCTCCACTTGTCACCCTCGCTTGCGAGAGTGTTTAGTGTGTTCTGCTCGTCTTAAGGGCTCGCCTCACTGAGGATCATATGTTTCTTTTTGAGTCACAATCTCAACTTGTTATTTACTGCCTACACCTTTTAATGGCAGGGTATATATTGCGAAATATAACTTTAATGATGCTGAGATATTTGCAAAACTCCGGACTGCATGTGTCTGCGGTGGGGAACGAACGTGCTATTGTCCTTTCTGAGGAGTAACGCGTTCACCACCACACCATGCTGGTCCTTCGTTTCGCCTGTCTCTCAGCTAGTTCTCTAGGTCTGGAGTTTTGCAAATATCTCAACATTATTAAAGTTATATTTCGCAATATATACCCTGCCGTTAAAAAGAGTAGGAAGTAATTAATAAGTTAAGATTATGATTATAACTGCAACTTCAGCTTAACTGGGTTCATTGCCGATTTGGGCCCCCCAAATCAATCCCACTGACGGGTGATTACTGATGGCAAGAGATCGATTGAACTAGCTGAGAGACAGGCAAAACGAGGGACCACTGAAAAACAGAAGCACTGAAAAATGTCTATAGAGCTCTAAGCAATAAAGTTCAAAAATAAGTTAGAGGTTTTGTTCCTGAGACCAAGGACAGTGTGCATACATAGCTTAAATCATCCATGCGTCAACAAGAAAAAGACAGTTTTCACTTCATTTTCAAATGCTTCTCAACTAGTATAACATGTCACATCAACGCTCTCATACTTATATCACAATTCCTCTCACAAAAGAAGGAAGACGTTTCTCAAGACGTTCCTACAATACAATAAAGAACTTGCATTTGCTTTTCACTAAATACGATTAAAAAAGTTATTCTTAAAATAAACTTAGAAGGAACACGTACGAATCCACCCATGCGGAAGAATATACACGTGGTCTCACTAATGCCGATGTTAACAACAATATGACTTAACTGAGAATTTTTGATACCCTGGAATTCTTATGCTTAACAACGGGCCACTGTTGCCTTTGTTAAGAGGTTTTGAGCTTTCAATCCCACTGACGGGTGATTGCTGTGGCAAAGATCGATAGAAATAGCTGAGAGACAGGCGAAACAAAGGACCCGCATGGTGTGGTGGTGAACGCGTTACTCCTCAGAAAGGACAATAGCGCGTTCGTTCCCCACCGCAGACACATGCAGTCCGGAGTTTTGCAAATATCTCAGCATCATTAAAGTTACATTTATTTTAGAGTATTCTTAAAAAAACTCCTACCAGCTGATCGGTGGTCGTACTGCTCCTATGGAATTTGGTCGCTAACGACCATTGTTCATCCATCGGTTCCGTTTCAGACGCATCACGTGTCGGGCTCACCTTATTTTCGACAGTTTGCCATTTAGAATGGCGTCTCCGGTTTCCATCGTCGACGTAGGGCAGAAATTCGTACGCCTTTTCTCATTTGAGTTACACGAGATACTCTTAACATCGCATTCTCGGCTGCGCATTCGATATCGTTGAGTGATCGATCATTCATCCTGATTACATAGCGATTAGGCTTCCGACGGTTATGTTAACGCAGCAAGAATCGAGGAGTCGAAAAGTGGGCAGGGAAGCCCCGTGTACCAAAACCCTGATGGTCTCGAAAGCCCCACAAGCAGCTCGGTTCCTCATGCTCAACCCTAAAGCCAAGTAGTTCACCATTTTGGCTTCCGGACCTAGATAAACGTAGCACGTGCAATCAAAGATAGTCATTCCTTTGGTCGTGAAAGGAGCATGAAAATCAAATACGAATGCAACACAATTTTTAATAATCGCTTTAGATTATGACGTTGTAATAGTAGCAAGGCATTTTCCACCGACAACTTCTAAGAGGCTGAGAAATAAACAGACGCTTCTAGAAGAAAAATTTTAGTTCAAAGATCTGTGAATAGCATTTAAAACTAGTTAGCCAGTTGTGGAAGAAGCAACACATTGATGAAAAATGTCGGCACGAAGACCAGAGTGTAAGGAGATTACGTTAAGCAAATTTAATCGTGGCGGGAATGAGCAACTGCCTCTGTCACAAAAGGTTGCTGAAAATTAATCTTGGTGGTTTTTTTCCGGGAATGTGGCTGCAATCTATCTCCTTCTGGATAAGCATTTACTCAACCTCGTTGAATCATACAGATAATGCAAGCAGAGGCTAATGAGTAATGGACTTTTCCTGAGATTTGATTCTCTTCTCCAAAAGAAAAAGTTGGATAGTCTAGTTGGGATCAAGGCGCTCTTTTACAAGTCAGAAATTAAAAAAGGTGTTCAGTGACAACGATGCTGAGATATGAGCACAACTCGGAGCCCCAAGTGAGCTTCGAACCCGCCATTACCCGTTTTCTCCGAGGCTTCAAGTGGCTTCCACTTCCACTGCACCATCCAGCCTCCTAATTTGGCTTTTTGTCACGCAGTTTTTTTTCATCCTGACGGTGTCATCAGCCATCAGCCGTCAATGGGAATGATCTAAGTAGCATAAGTTGGAATTGAACCCAGTTAGGCGGGAGCTGCAGTCGAAATCACAATGTTTAATTTTATGGTCGAGTGCATGGCGCAACATTCTTCATGCTTCTTCCCCCAAGGAAAAATCATTAACAAACGCATTTCATCCTTTACAACCCCGTTCATAGACTGACTGATAAGAAGACCGGCAGCCCAGTGTTGTCTTGAATTGTTGTTATTCGTGAATGACGACAGCAAACAACCAAGAATATCGCACGTTATGGTCAGTGAGCTTAAGTGAACCTCAAACTTCGTGAAAGAAGAATCTCAGGTTTTGTGGAATTAAACCGGAACTCCTTGTAGCTCGCTGTATGCTTTAAACCACACAACCACAAAAACAATAGTTAGCTAAAGCATTCCGAATTCTTTGTCATTTTCCCATCTGTTTAGGCGGTTATTTTGTTATTAACATAATTTTACCAACATACGGAGTGACCATTGGTAGAATGTTATAAGGAAGACAACATATTCTATCTTTGAAGATACTCATTTCTAATAGTAAAAACAGAATGGAGATGGCTGGAAGATTGGTTTGCTTAGTCGGCCTAAGGAACCAAAAGCTTTTATATTATAATCAGTTATGCACTCCACTCATTGATATGTGGAGCAGCCCCATTGTTTTCTTGATTGATATCAAACAACTTATTTTATTTTATTTGATCCGTCTTCAACTCTGCGTGTTTAATTTTATGGTCGAGTGCATGGCGTGCAATTCGTTTCCTCGCATTCATCGTCCACTAAGGTCTTCCAAGTTCTTACGTGTGGCTTCGGTTCCTGCTCGAGGATTTCCATTTCGCCTGAACGTCGTTGAATGCTGGTCGAGCAGTTCTCCCTGGTGTCCTGAGATAGCCGAGCTGCAGCGCTCCCAGTTGGACTGTAGAGAGTGATTTTTTTTCCAGACAAATCCGGTACCAATTTCCCGATTCCGGAGGAATGAGAAACTTGGTTGGCTCGGAGCGGAATCGAACTAGCACCATGCTCGTGATGAGAGAACATCACTACCACTGTGCCATCCACCCTCCATAATTCCCATTAAAACTATCATTCTACTTGTTTTGTCCGACTTCACATGTGAGGATCTCGGCACTTCCTCACTCGCTGGTTTGCTTCATATGTGCCACCCACGAAGGCTTTCAGGTTTCTATACGACTTCGGCTGTCACTGAAAGACTCTTCGTATTCTTCGCGAATGTCGTTGAATACTGGACGGTTATATTCTTCAAAATTCAACAGGAGTTTTGTAGCAAAATGGAACAACAAGCGCACAAGGAAGATATTTCATACATTTCTCCATCGGTTTATTAAAATGAAAGCAAAAGAGTGCTAGTTTATTTACGAAGTAGTTAGTTGTTATCGTTTTCTCCCGGATTAATCCGGTTCAATGGTTGAATGACCGGAACAACTACAACCAGCTTGCTATCACTTTTCTATATGCACAGGACTAGTGCCTTGTGCTTCCTTTCGTTTTTCACTGGTAGAGCAAATGCCAGTTTTTTTGGTTTTTGACATTTATGGTAATGACAGAGCCTTTCATATCACTCTTCTAGCATGCAAATGAACGACGAGCAGGAAGGCGCCCAAATTCTTCGCATAGAGCCGAGTGATGGTTCTTCTTTTTAAATAACGACGCTCTTAGTCCTTTCACTGAAGTACCTCTAGATTCTTCTGAATTTTTAATAAGTTGCGGTGGTGCCCATTCACTTATAATTTCTTCTTTAAAAAGCACTAATAAGAGAAAAAAAACGAAAGAGGTAAAGTTTTACAGAACAGCCAATGCAATTCTCCTTGATTCTTTTCCTCGGTCCTTTACAAAACAAGATTTTCAATGAATTAGCGAGCATGCTTGTTTGAGTGTAGTGAAATCATGGTTTCGAGCGTTTCCACTCTGCACACGTATCACAGAAAGTGGAAGGTACGGGACAGGCCTAAAAGTTCGACCTCAAAAAATGCTCAAGTCTTAATATGCAACAGGAAAAGTTTGCACGAGTAGAAATGCGAAAAGGAAAATCGATATGCAACCTGAGTTACTCTTGAATGACCTAAAGGACGCCTTTTTTCTTCTGTGTCTTCACGAATGCTGTCTCCACTTTTAGTTTTTGAGAGAACTTTTCCCATTTCGATTCCCCGTTCTTTAGGAAACCGACGCATCACACAGAGCCATATGAATATTCTCGAGTAGAATAAAGATAATGCCAAAACTCTCAAAGACGTTTTCCATAATTTCAAGGCGTCATATTAATAGTGGCAGTGGTAGCAGAAAAATATCTAAATAGCGAATGGGAATACGGGCAACGTGGAATACGCCGCTCGCTTGTCCTTCACGTCCCGCTGTCATAAGAATCCGGTTAAAGGCATCATTTAGGCAATAAGACCGGAAAAACGGTGACGGATGCATTTTCCTAGCTTTGAAACGAGTGACAACAAAGTCATGACAGCGACAGCTACAGGGGAGGGAGGTGGGAGGAGTGACATCTCACACATGTTAAAAAAACGGATCGAGCGGGAACAGGTCAAATTTTGCTGGTTTGAGAACGACAGACGTGTTAGAGCGGTGTTCATTGGGACAAGATGTGCCAAATACGCAGAAAAAGTAAAACATTTCCGGCTTCAGAACAAGAGACGAGTCAGAGCGGTGATGTTAGCGGTTGGATGTCTCAAATGTGCAGGAGCGACAACTCACTCGTCATCTGCACTTTTCGCAATCACATCCGAAGCTGTCGTATTTGATTTCAAGATATCAAACCGCAATGTTCTAAGTTGCTATAAATCTAAACAGATGTAATATACTGTCAAATAGACAACTGAAAACACTGTTATCACTGGGGCATGCTTAAACTAACCAAAGATTAAGGGTTATTAGTGAAAATGTTACTACTACTCAAGAGTAACGGTTAGAGACAAAATATTTTTGGAGATCATTTTCCTATCAGCATATTAATGTGGAAATGAAGGCCATTACAGCTTTAATATGGGAGTATCAAATAATTTTCAACGGATTTTTGTTTGTACAATCTTGAATATTGCATACAATCCATTTATTCAGCGCACGTTAACTGAGATTAAGTGCGAAGCACTTGCCAAGAAACGATCATACATAGGTCGTTCTCTAAACTCAGAATAACATCGTGCAGTGCTTTTACCTGCACACCTTGTGTAGCGAACGAAGCAGCTCATGAAGAGGGTTCCGGTGAGAGCAGACTGTTTGGACTCCTTAACTGAATGTCATCTAGATAAGTAGTAACTACATAAACTCGAAAAAACCATAGAATTCTCCATTCCTCCCAGTCGCGTTGTAGAACTACTCAGTAGGTTAATATCACGCGATGGACACGAAGAGCACCTTTGTGCAAGGTCCTTTATTTCCACTGTTCTTGGTAAGAATGCAGCCACAGAAAACTCAGTGAACACTGTCTTGACAGCCGATTGCTCTTGTAGAGAACTCCCGATGAAAATTTTGAATTCCTTGACAGTTTGTGTCGTCACGTTGGCAGATGAATCTTTTCTGTGCATCGGTGTTCGACACTCAGGAGGAACTTCAACCACGATCAGAGGATAATCTATGGGAGGTGTCAATAATGTCAAAAACTCCCACCATGGATGAACTACTGACCAAGATACTTGTGAAAAATTCTAATGATACAAGCAAACAAGTGACATAATCAATTTCATTTTTGTGCTACTTAGCACAGCCATCATTGATGCCTTTTAAACGACGCTGTTACCTTTCACTCATTCAGACAGTTCACTCTGCAAAGAAACAAGCTTAAGATTAACAAGGAACAAATAACAGATAACAGAGGAATAAAACTGTTGCAAAACTTTAGGTAGATTTTAACTTATTATTAACGGCACACTTTTTTTAATGGCAGGATATGTTGAAAAGTATAACTTCTATAATACTGAGATAACTTCAATGATGCTGAGATATTTACACAACTCCGGACTGCTGGTCTGTGGTGGGAAACGAACGCGCTATTGTCCTTTTTCGGGGTATAACGCGTCCACCACCACACCATGCGGGTCCTTCATTTCGCCTGTCTCTCAGATAGTTCTTAGATAGATTACTAAAATAACGACTTTCGAGTTATTTAATCGAAGAATGGAAAAATAATGCTCGTGGAATACAGGTGTACGAGGACTGAATGACACACTAGTGAGAATGCAACTGGCGACTTGGTCGCTTATTCAAATGAATATTCTGAATAGTTACGCAGATTTTTTTTATCCTAAATGCTTCATTAATCTCTACTTTAAATGTAGCTCCTAACCGAACACTCATCACCAGGACAGAAAAGATTTGAAATGAATTGGTATCCAGCTGCAGACAATCCTACGATCATTATAGATGTATTCCAGCAAACAAAGCTGTTCGAACACTATTTTAAATTACTGCATTACCCATCCGAGAGTTTGGGACGTAACGAAAGGTCAATATGTGTACGTTGAACTTGTTGTCTTTAAGGACAGACACAAATGAAATTACGAAGTGACGAGAATCGCTCATTTCCGTGCTACATTTCAAGAAGACAAGAATAGTTCTAATTTAGGACAGTTTTTCAATTAAATAAGAAAAGGCTATAATGAAATTCTCTTGACAAAAACATTGTCAGGATAAACAATGATCAGAGTAAAATTAAAGCCACACGATTAACGCTCACGTAACGTTTCCGCATAACGATCGGGTTGTGGATGCTGAACAAACTGCCAAACTACCTATTACGTGGAGGATTTCCGTGAATAGAAAAGAGGTATAGCAAGGAGCGGCCTTTTAAAAGATTATCCTAACGTGGCAGAAGCCCAAGCGCTACCGCTTGATGGATGAGTATTCGAAGCAGGTGAGTATTCGAAGTGAAGACCATGACGAAATTCATCCGATTTCCACATTTTTCTCAAAATTTCAAGGGTTCGTTGTTTTTTCTACAGCTACAGGCTTTGCTCCAAGCCTCGGATATGATATGCTGGCCTTGTAGTCTTGCTCATATTTTCGCTTTTTCTTCAACATTTTTCACAAGGGACAAAATAAGCCTCCTTTTAGAGGTTCTCGACGACGCCATAGTACGTATTGCACTACCTGGTTTTTCAGTTCTCTCGGATTTCACGACAGATGACGTCAATATAAGTTAATATCTCTGCTATCCATAGTTTTGCTGGGTGTGTTTGCGTTGAAAAATTTTCAATTTTCGCAATTAGCTATGCCAGAAGTTCTGCCTGAAAAGCCATAAAACTAAATTGCTAGCGAAGATGCTGCATATGCTGACACACAGTAGGAGCGCATTACATAGAAAAACATCGTTTCTTCTGGAGTACTGTAACAAAATACAACATACTTTACACCTGACAGCGAAGACCTTCATGGATCGCTCTGTTGTAGTAAACACTCAGAAAATTCTTTCAGTAACATGGTAGTGATTCATTGCGTAAGAAAGACTTTTATAATAATATTATAGCACTCATTTCCCAAGGCCAAGCTGCTTATTATGGTTACCTAAAAACTTTCCCAAGTAGCTTCAAGCAATAAATCTGCTTGCGACTGACGGAGTTTTGTGAATCCATTCGTAAGGGTTAAGAGAATACATAGAAGCGGTTAGAAACCAGTCAAAATCAAAAGAAGAAAATCAGAAACCTGCTCGAATCTATGTGTGTGAAAGTCAGCTCGTTGAAAAAAGTTTGCTGAACAACTGCCAATCTCTTATACGACAATCATGACAGGCTGTCAACTCTGTGAAGAAGTTGAGGGCCCATGAGAGCGGCGACAAACTCACTAATTTTTTAAGCTGGTTCGTGCTTCTTTTCATGGATTGTAGGAACCAAACGTTATAGGAATACGGACTTTCATTTGGGGAACGGAAAACACGGAACTATGGTATTAAATTGGCGACCGTACCCGTAGTCCACTTTAATATTTTAAACTGATTATCGTCCAAAATAGTCAGACTAAAGTAAAAACTACAGTTATACAATCATAGTTATAAATGCGTTACAGGAGAACTGAAACACGGAGGAAAGATCTCAAATGTAGTACATTTTTAGGTGTTTCCACAAAGCAATTAAAAGCGTAGTGGAAGTATTGGAAAATTAATGAGGAAGAATGCTTAAAGAGAAGCTGTTTTATCTTGAAGGGCGTAATTGAACTGCCTTGTGGTGAGCATGACGACAAGGAAAAAGGCCTAGATGAGATGGAATATTCAAATGACACTCTAAACTTAGGAAAAAAAGAATAGACAGTAAATAAAAGGCTAAGATTGTGATTATAACTATAGCCTCAGCTTAACTGGATTCAATGCCGATTTTGGCTCCCCAGATCAATCCCGTTGCCGGGCAATCGATAGAACTAGCTGAGAGACAGGCGAAACGAAGAATCCGCGTGGTGTGGTGGTGAACGCGCCGCTACTCCCCGGAAAGGACAATAACGCGTTCGTTCTCCACCCCAGACAACTGCGGTCTAGAGTTTTGCAAATATCTCAGCTTTACAGAAGTTAATTTCGCAACATACCCTGCCTTTAAGAAGAATAGGCAGTAAATAAAAAGGTTAATACTCTAAACTTGGTTCTCATTTTGTGCCAGCACATGTTCAGAACAATGATGTTAGGACAATCGAATCCGAATTAATACGCGAAGAAGGAAGCTCAGAATAACGTCTGCACTGAGCAGAGCTGGTAATAATTAACTCAAGTCCCAACGCTTAACTTTTTATCTACTACCTATGTTCTCTTTTCATAGGAGGGTACTATGTGGAATTCAATCACAATGATGCTAAGAGATTTGCAAAACACGGCCCTCAGGGCAGATTCGGACATGCGATTATTCTTTTCGTGGTGATGTGTCCAGTTAGTGCTTCAATCCTTCTACACAAGTTTGCTACCACTTTGCTAACTCCGGAGGGATGGAAGTCTTGCTGAGTGTATCCGAGGCACGGGTGAGAACGAAGTACTGTGTGTGTTTTGCACAGGACCTCTAATCACTGAGCTACACGCATTCCCATAATTAAGCCACAATTATGTTAAATAAAAGTTTCTTTGCAAAAGTGTTTAAAAGTTCTATTTTTTCAAAATTATGCGGCAAAAATTACTAGCCTACATGAAAGTAGGGTTGTTTTACCCTATGAAAGAAGACAAAGCACTAGTAAAAACCTCCTCATTATGTGTGAACTTCAAGAAATGTTGCGACAAAATTATGAGATATTAAACGCTCTACTGCATAAAATGAAAACTTCAAAAATCCAGCGTCACACTTTATCGTGAAGTCGTTTTCGTGTAGGTTGTTCAGCCTTGGCTTTTTGCTTTGAGGTCCCATTTTCATTCGAAGATGTAAGAAATTTCTGAAACTAACGGTTTTAAGACTGAATTGTTCGAATCGACGTGTTTTTTACAGCAAATATTCTCTAGAACATCATCATTTGTAACATATCCTAAAGTTTAAGGGCTTTGTAAGAGTTCTGAAGAAAGAATTCCGAACACGAGTGAGGGGTCCGACAGAAAACTTAACGTGCAGTTTTACGGTTAACCAAGTGATCGTAGCACCTCTATGCCCTAACAATCCTAGTAAGGACCGACGGAGCCGAGCAGGTTTTGACACGGAGTTTATAGGTTCCTCTCATAAGAGCTGCTAATGATCTTTACTCGCTTGGAGGACATGAAGACCACTACATTATTCCACGATGTTGTTCATTTTAATTGCTTTCGATTGAGAAGTACGCATGGAAAGCCTCAATAGCTCCGTCGTAGTGGGAAAAAAGTGATTGAAACCTCTTCAGATGGAAACGTAGTAAAAGAACACTTCCATTTTACTCAGGAATAATTTAATTCAAGGTTCTAATCAAATAGACAATGCGAATGCGCAAGATCCTATGAATCCACTTAAGCTAATAGCAACTATGCGGTCACCTCTTGGCTTATTTTAAACCATTTCTTCGCCAACATCGTAAGTGCCGTGTGGTGTAGCAACGAATCGGCCTATAATCCTCCAAATAATGGAGGTTTACGGCCATAGTGAATTTTCGAGAACTACATACTATTAGGTTTATTCATAAACTGTGGCCGATTTAAAGCTGCATCTTGTTGACATTGATATAGTAAATCGACTGAAAACCTCCTTCCATAGCCGGCTACCTTGAATATTGTAAGGAGAATCGACTCGACCAGCACTCTACGACATTCCAGAAGTTGAAACATCACTGAATACGAGAAAAACAAATCGAATTCAAGAATTGCTGGGATCTGCACAGTAGATGTAGATGTAGATGACAGGTCATGTAGATAATAAGAAGAAATTAAAAGCTCTCAGAATCCATGTTTTTCTTCCTACAAGGCAAGAGTTCATGTATGTTACTAACAAACCTTTGTTTTCCGTTTCTGGTTTCCGGAAGCGACGAATCTTCAAGTGGAATTGTCAGCATCTATCTGCCCGCTTGCTGAATAGTAGATTGTTGACGTGGTGCGTAAAAAGTAGTAGTCGGTGGGTGAGAGGTCCAGTGGGGATCTTGCATGAAGTGGAGCTTAGTAGCTCAACTAGTACCTTTGAGTAGAATTCATAGTGACGGTTTATGATCACTCCGTTCAATTGTGTGAGGCACACATTTGTCGAACTTTTTTATCGTTCAAACTAAGTCTTCGAAATACCGAACCACTAATTGATTAACGTCGATTCTTGCTCAGCAATGCAACTTCTTTTCAGAGAGTCAGCTGCAATTATCGACTTCACATGGTCGTCATCAACTGCTGATGGTCGCTCGAGGCAGTCTTCATCAACAAAGCATCTATCTGTAGCATAAATCTCTTCGAACCATCTGCACACTGTGCGTCTGGAAACGCTTCCCTTCCCTATGGCTCTGATGACACTTCGAGTTATCTCCGCTGCCACATATCGAAGTTTGAGGTAAGTATGAACTCACGAACAAAAATCCTATGAATTTCTTGCTTAAAAGGCAACAACTTAACTACCTTGGAGTCGCTGTGAGTTAAATGTAGGAAAACCATTATATGTTAAACACAGAGGGTGAAATGAGCTTGAAAATGCTATATAACAACAATGCAAAAGGCAAAATATTGCAATCGTTCCTGAGTTAGCCTAAACTGAACGGTGGAGAGTACAGTTGCACCAATACGAATCTTTCACTGAAGCAGAAGTGTAGCGCTTTGGTAGCCCTAGTTCATTCACCGATACTTGCCGCAGCCGATCACTGCTTCTCCCAAGTCCAGTCGTTCCATAGCAATTCCCATGTGTATGTACAATGTGTATGCACATATATATATATATATATATATATATATATATATATATATATATGCAAACTACTCACACGATACTCATTAAAAGAATTTCATATATGGGACCTGAATGAAAACGCTAAAACAAACACGCCCACTGAAAGCAGAGCGGAGTAAAGTGAGAATTGAAGAGATTGCTTCTGAAAGAACGGATAGAATACGAATGGCCTTTAAGCTGTACACTTGCTCGGTGATTTCGGGGGTTGACGATGCTGGGACACAACAATTTCACTGGTTTAAACATATTTCTGACTGACCAAGTTTCACCAAGACGGCACAGAATTCAATTCACTGGCCGGCAATGCCAAATGGATTGTCGAGTTTCCAACGAATGACGTTTATAGGACAACCTAATCAGAAGGTATGACTAAACGCGACGTCACTCTTTTGTTTCCGCAGTGTAATTGTGGGTACCAACTCAAATACGTTCCTTCATCCTTCGTTGTTTCTTCATGAACAAGCTTTCTATACTGTCTACATACATAAAATTAAGAGCGAAAATCAGAAGCATTATTATTATCATAATCAAAGAGTATTACATCTGCAAATGTCTTTTAGCATTTCGAAAACGAATAACGAGAAGAGAAATGAGAAAAAACTCGAAACATTCCTGAAAGGGTGAAGCTGTGAAGGATAGGGAGGGAACAGACAGCAAGAAAAAAGAGGGAATTTTTCAGCCAGAGTAGCCAGATGTAGAAATGAAAATTTCCTGTAATACAGGTTTATTACGTTAGAGAGTTAAAATATGCGTTGCCTCGAATCAGCTCCCACTGCGTCACAAAGCCTTCCATCCGTCCGGGGTCGGCTAATTGGTACCAGACTTGTCTGCGAGGATACCAGCATTGGCTCGATACATCGGTAGGCTACCGCAAGGTGTTGTTTAGGCTGCACTCAATCACATCTAGGGTTCGAAGGTTCAGCCCCTCTCGTCAACGCCGACTCTTTTGACCTATTGTTTATGGGTATAGGTAGTAAGCGTCGAAGATCAAATAGATGAATGAGGCAGAAAAATCGCAGAAAACTTAGCAATGTTTAGATAAAGAATGACGCAATCCCAAACAACCGGTATTCGCACCATTACATCAACCTCAAGCTAAACACACGGGAGCTCAGATGCCTGGTCTAGTCTTCGAAGTTTAGATTTCGAAAAAAAAGTCGAGAGACAACAGCTTCTCACTAAGAAAATCTAGTTTCGTCATAGGTTTTGTGCGATTTCCAACCATTACATTAGTATTTAAAGAACTCATTTGAACCACAATGAAGAACTCTCTAGTTCCAACAATTAAAGATTTCCAGAAAATGATCATTTTCCTTTGATAAATATTCCACTTTAGGATAGCCAGTTGATCGATGATAAGTACATTCCTACGGCGCGAATGAGTTTTGGGCAAACGCAACGAGGCACTGGTTCTTCGTTTTAGAACTTTGCACTGAATAATTTGTTGGGAAGATAATTATCTACAGTGTTTTAGCGTGCAACTGCCACACTCAAAGAAAAATTCCAATACTTGTGTGGTCCATTATTTGGATGGTGTTTCGTGAAAATGGCGTCAATGAAGCGGACAAAAAAGCAAAGCTTTGTTGAAGTTTACGGGCTGTTACCCAGACTACTCTATAAAGACTAGGTCTTGGTAGAGACCAATGACGAATAGTCAAGAATCTATGCGTTTAAATATTCAATTTTGCGAGTGTGGATGAATTTCCAACAAGAACCATAAACGCCTGAACTGCACGAATGCGATAAAAATGTCTAATTGGAGAATCTTAGCTGAATCAAAAATTGGTTTGAAGTGAGTAAGGAAGGTGGAACCGGAGTGCAATGTGTATTACGTTGATCCCATCGTTGCGTACTACAGCTGCATAAAGCCTAAAAGATAGGTAATCAAACGTTTACACATATATAGGTATGACGAAGTCAATGTTCAGAAGCAAATTGAAGATGACTCGACCAGAATTCAAAAAAATGCGTGAAGAAAGCGAAAAAATCTTCAAAAAGTAACCGAAACAACACGCAAAGAAGTTCGAGGACCTTCATAGATGGGTGATGCGCGGAAACGGATCCAATGGAAGATACACCAGGATCACCAGAATGCATATAAAGACGAATAATTTAGTAACGATAGCAATAATAATAATGTAGTGGAAATTGGAGAATAAGGATTAGCATTAATAATAGTATAGGAAAGCCTGTAATGGTTATGTAGAAGCGCAACAAGAGATAACCGGAAATGGCTGTGCAGTTGAACACCTTTTCCTACACACTGTCATAGAAAGGATGTTTTAGAATGGATTTTGGAGCGTATAACGGTATGTACAAACAATCGTTGTAAGAAGACCACGAGATTTGAGATTTGGATAGCAGATTGGACTCCCACGAGTTCGGAGTGGCTGTAGTGGCCAAATATGTATCGGTAGATGACGGAAATGTTTAAAAGCAATCGAATTCCTACAAGCGGTGCCATTCTGAAATGAAGCAGAAGTAATTCCTACGACCGACTTTCTATTAAGCTCGGTAATGATCAAATAATTCTCGACATTCTAGTTGAGCGAACACGAGGTGCTAGCTTATTCTTTATTTCGGTAAAGCTGACGTTTCGGTAGTATCACTTTCTTCAGAGCCGTTATTTTACGTGCTGCTTAGAGTTCATATGGTTGATGAGCCTTCGCTTTCTTTTTCTCAGTAGAATATTAGTAAGCAATTTAATACGCCAAGCGCTTCAGGAACACTAACAGAAAGATGAAAATCTGAATGGTAAACACATGATTAACAGCTTCTCAAAAAACCCACCTTTTTTTACGAGCCTTCCACCAAGGAAGAACAGCTGATCAGAGTCGCATGTGGTCGATGAATGCTCCTCCAACATCAAAATCCGATGTGAAGGTACTGCGGGGGATCACATGTAATTTTTGGGTATATTCTTTCCTGCTATTCATTTAGGGTTCTTGGTATTATCCAAAAAGCCTCAAGAAGTTTCCTGCGTTAGTGTATTGGCATCCCGTGGGAGAAAGTGACTTTTATGCCAAAATCGTTTCCGCTATGCTTTTGGATCCTA